ATAACAAGTGATTTATGGACATATTAAGAAGCTGTGATGCTGGGGCACCTGGGTGGCTCAGTGGGTTAAGCCACTGCCTTCGGCTCAGGTCATGATCTCAGGGTCCTGGGATCGAGCTCCACTTTGGGCTCTGCTCAGCAGGGAGCCTGCTTCCTCCTCTCTCTCTCTCTCTCTCTGCCTGCCTCTCCGTCTACTTGTGATCTCTCTCTGTCAAATAAATAAATAAAATCTTTAAAAAAAAATGGTGTTCTTTAAAAAAAAAAAAAAAAAAGAAGAAGCTGTGATGCTGGGGTATCCGCTCTGCTCAGTCGGAAGAGCATGTGACTCTTCATCTCAGGGTCATGAGTTTGAGCCCCACGTGGGGTGTACAGATTACTTAAATAAATAAAACTTTAAGAAAAAAAAAGAAGTTGGGGCGCCTGGGTGGCTCAGTGGGTTAAAGCCTCTGCCTTCGGCTCAGGTCATGATCCCAGGGTCCTGGGATGGAGCCCCGCATGGGGGGGGGGGTCCCTGCTCAGCGGGGAGCCTGCTTCCTCCTCTCTCTCTGCCTGCCTCTCTGCCTGCTTGTGATCTCTCTCTGTCAAATAAATAAATAAATCTTTTTAAAAAAAGAAAGAAAAGATAAAAAAGAAGCTGGGCGCCTGGGTGGCTCAATCATTGAGCGGCTGCCTTCGGCTCGGGCACGGGACTGGGGTCCTGGGATCAAGGCCCGCATCGGACTCCCGCTTGGCGGGAGGCTTGCTTCTCCCTCTCCCACTTGCCCTGCTTGTGTTCCCTCTGTCTCTGTGTCTCTCTCTGCCAAATAAATAAATAAATAATCTTTAAAGGAAAACAAAAAGCTGTGATGCTATAGTAAAGTAGCTAAATGAGCAAGAGAAACTAAAAGGACGTTATGTAATTGGAAGTATCACAAAATGTTAAAAAGAGCACAGGGGAGCTTGACAAAAACCTTACAAAAGTCCCAAGTAAAGGATACATGGAAGAGAGACAGAAAGTACAGCAAGTGTTATTAAGATAGCATTCAAGAACATGACTTTGTTATCACCAGAAACTGAATTATATTATTAGGATCAGGGAGAAGTAAAAATTAACATTAACCAAATTTCAATAAACTAAATTAACAGAGAAACGGACTTATCTCTTTGTAAATTCTCATATAATAGGACACCATACCTGCACTTTATACCGATATAATATTCCCATAGGCTGATGAGGAAATGCCAGAAAGTTGGGTGTAAGCTTGATGGGAAAATAAATATTCACTTCTTGTTGATGTATGATTGGAAATTTTATAGGCTGAATATTTTTATTCTATAAGAATGGGGAAAAAAGGAACAAAATAGATTTTATAAGGACCGTTTTTATAATCCATTCATATTCAAAGCATCAGCAAATGGTGTACTAATGAATTACTCAACCAGTTTCTTTCTATAAATGAAGTAAGTAAATGTTCCTATCATGAGGAGCGCCCAGGTGGCTCAGTCAGTTAAGTGTCTGACTCTTGATTTCAGCTCAGGTCATGATTTCAGGGTTGTGTGACTGAGCCCCACGTCAGGCCCCATGTTCAGTGGGGAGTCTGCTTAAGGATTCACCCTCTCCTTCTGCACCTCCCCCCACTCACAACTCTCTCTCTCAAATGAATACATAAAAATCTTTAAAAAAGGGCGCCTGGGTGGCTCAGTGGGTTAAGCTGCTGCCTTCGGCTCAGGTCATGATCTCAGGGTCCTGGGATCGAGTCCCGCATCGGGCTCTCTGCTCAGCGGGGAGCCTGCTTCCTCCTCTCTCTCTGCCTGCCTCTCTGTCTACTTGTGATCTCTCTCTGTCAAATAAATAAATAAAATCTTTAAAAAAAAAAAATCTTTAAAAAAAACACGATATGATTGTTTCAATAGACACAGAAAAAGCATTTGAAAAAGTACAACATCCATTCATGATAAAAGCCCTCAACAAAGTGGGTTTAGAGGGAATATACCTCAACATAATAAAGGTTGTTTATGAAAAACCCACAGCTAACATCATCTTTAATGGGGAAAAACAGAACTTTTCCCCTAAGGTCAGGAACAAGACCAGGATGTCTATGCTCACAGCTTTTTTTTTTTTTTTTAAGGTTTTATTTGTCTGAGAGAGAGAGAACACAAGCAAGAGATCATAATCAGGGGAAATGGCAGAGGGAGAAGGAGAAGCAGGATCTCAGCTGAGCAGGGAGCCCAACACAGGGCTCAATCCCAGGATCCTAGGATCATGATCTGAGCCAAAGGCAGACACTTAACCACCTGAGTTACCCAGGCGCCCCTCTCACCACTTTTATTCAACATAGTACTAGAAGTAGTACCACGGAAATCACACAACAACACAACAAAAATGCATCAGGGGGTGGGGCGCCTGGGTGGCTTGGTGGGTTAAAGCCTCTGCCTTTGGCTCAGGTCATGGTCCCAGGGTCCCAGGGTCCTGAGACCAAGCCCCGCATCGGGCTCTCTGCTCAGCGGGGAGCCTGCTTCCCCCTCCCTCTCTGCCTGCCTCTCTGCCTACTTGTGATCTCTGTCTGTCGAATAAATAAAATCTTTAAAAAAAAAAAAAAAAGGTATCAGGGGTGCCTGGGTGGCTCAGTTGATTAAGCGACTGCCTTTGGCTCAGGTCATGATCCTGAAGTCCCAGGAATGAGTCCCACATCGGGCTCCCTGCTCACCCAGGAGTCTGCTTCTCCCTCTGATCCTCTCCCCTCTCATTCTCTCTCGTTCACTCTCTCTTTCTCTCAAGTAAATAAATAAAATCTTAAAAATAAAAGGCATCAAAATTGGTAAGGAAGAAGTAAAACTTCCACTATTTGCAGATGACATGATACTATATACAGAAAACTCAAAAAGACTCCACCAAAAAACTGCCAGAATTAATAAACGAATTCAGTAAAGTTGCAGAAAACAAAATCAACATATAGAAATCTGTTCATTTCTTGGGGCTCCTGGGTGACTCAGTTGGTTAAGTATCTGCCTTCAGCTCAGGTCATGATCCCAGGGTCCTGGGATTGAACCCCACGTTGGGCTCCCTGATCAGCAGGAAATCTGCTTCTCTCTCTGCCCCTCAGCCTGCTCAATGTTCTCTCTCACTCTGTCTGTCTCTCAAATAAATAAAATCTTAAAAAAAAAAAAAAAAGACACTGGGGGGTTACTAAGAAATGGGTTTGAGAGATATTGAGAACTGACGTGGCATTCAATGTTGTACTAAATGCAGCAGGTGAGGGGAAGGGAGAGTCAAGGACCACCCCTGGGGTTTTATCTTAAACAACCAGGTGAAAAGATCCATGGAAAAAAAGGAGGTCTAGGAAATGGCAGGCTATTACAAACCAGAAACTTGGGATGCCTGGGTGGCTCAATCTGCTAAGTGTCAGCCTTTGGCTCAGGTCCTGATCCCAGTGTCCTGGGATTGAGTCTGGCATCAGGCTCCTTGTTCAGTGGGGAGCCTGCTTCTCCCTCTACCTGCCCCTCCCCCTGCTCGTGCTCTCTCTTTCTCACACAAATAAAAAGCAAAACAAAACAAAACCAGAAACTCATGCATTTTAGAGACAGTAGAAACAGATTCATACTTTATCCTTTTACCCAGTAATTCCATTTCTGGCATTATGCCATATGAAAATTAATCAAAAGGAAAAAACTACACAAAGAAACTCAGTTATGGCATTTACAAGAGTGAAAAAATGGAAATGCAAAAAGCTCCCTGTTGGTGGCATGGTTAAATAAGTTGACATAGTAACCCTTTGGATCTTCAGACTAGAAAGTACTCTACGGAAGCCTGACAGCACATGGAAACACACACATGAACCTCAAACGGTATATCCACACAGTGAGCACAAATGCAGACGTGAACAATGACAAAGACGGCAACAGAGAATCTGCACGGGTACAAACAACCGCGTGCCCTGGTCGTCAGTTCCTTTTTCAAGTTATGAAAGGCAGGGTGGGACAGACCATGTGTCTGCCTATAAATCAGTAAGTCAGCCGAGCCTCATGAGTGTTTGGGGTATTCAAAGACGATCCTTTTAATTTCTACCTGGTAGACGATGGAAGTCAGGGATGCGTTCATCACCACAACACCACTTTTCAAGGCTTTGACTACGTGGTAAGACCCATTCACAGTAGTGAGCTGCTCCTCAAAGTACTCGCTTTCGAACCGGCACATGATCCTGAGATTCTGTCAATCAGCCCAATATTGACACAAAACTGAGATGTTTGCTTTTTCCCGACAGCCATCTTAATCCCAAAGCATTAAAAAAATTAAAAGTGTGGCTATGCACTCTGGGGATAAATTAAAACAAAACTTTCACTCTCCTCATGGAAATGCTAAGTTGGAAAGACGTAATTTTAAAATGGTACTTGAACGATCCATTAATGGCAAGTGATCAGAAATAGAGTCAAAGTTTATATAAATTTTGGTAGAATTTTTGCCATTCCATAAGTTAACATTTTTTCAGGGAAAAAAACCCAAAGGGCCCTGGAGGGTAAGTGCAGTACTGTCCTCTGGGACTGTTCCTTGCACCACTGCCAAACAGAGGTGACCAACTCCAAGGGAGTCCTAGAATGAGACACCTCCAAAATGTTTTGGCCTTCCCTTCAACTCTTTCCTAGAATTCTGACTGAATTATGTATTTTACTTTCAGTTTACCTTTCCTAAAGGACAGAACTATTTAATAATCCTAATAAAGTAGTAACTTTATTTATTTATTTATTTATTTATTTATTTATTTTTGTAACTTTAAAAGTAAAGTCTGGAAGCAAAAAAAAGAAAGCCTTCCTAGCCAGAAAGGTGGCCCACTCAAGAAGTTATCCATACATGGGGCTGGAAAAATACAAGAGACACTCACATCTGAAATATAGACCTTTGTACTGCTTTTATCAAACACTTCTACTGTAATGACATACACTTGTCCCACCTCTAGACTCCATCGGTCTCCAGGCTGAACTGTGAAACCTGTATATAAATCAAGCAACAAAAATATCAGAGACGGCGGTTCCATGGTGTAATGGTGAGCACTCTGGACTCTGATTCCAGCAATCCGAGTTCAAGTCTGGGTGGAACCTCACCCTTTGGGCCAAGCTGCTGCCACCTTTGGGGCACCTGGGTGGCTCAGATGGTTAAGTGTCTGCCTTCGGCTCAGGTCATGATCCCAGGGCACTGGGATTAAATCCCGCATCAGGCTTCCTGCTCCTTGGGGAGCCTGCTTCTCCCTCTGCCTGTCTCTCATGAAAAACATCAGAAGAGAACGTTCATTTTCTACAATGAATTAAAAAATACAGGGGCACCTGGGAGGCTCAGTGGGTTAAACCTCTGATCTCAGGGTCCTGGGATCGAGCCCCGCATCAGGGTCTCTGCTCAGCGGGGAGCCTGCTTCCTCCTCTCTCTCTCTGTCTACTTGTGATCTCTGTCTGTCAAATAAATAAATAAAATCTTTTTTATTTTTTTTTTATTTTTTTTTTTAAAGATTTTATTTATTTATTTGACAGACAGAGATCACAAGTAGGCAGAGAAGCAGGCAGAGAGAGATAGGAGGAAAGAGACTCTCTAGGCAGAGAGGCAGGCAGAGAGAGATAGGAGGAAACAGACTCTCCGCTGAGCAGAGAGCCTGATGCGGGGCTCGATCCCAGGACCTGGGACCATGACCCAAGCTGAAGGCAGAGGCTTTGACCCACTGAGCCACCCAGGCGCCCCAATAAAATCTTTTTTAAAAAAGAAATAGATGGAGATTATTTCTAAGCTTGATCATTTAGCTCCCTCCTTCAAATTGAATAATTTGGAATTCTAAAAATGAAGATCCTGGCTTAATTTAGTTAATCTCAGGTATAAAGAAACACTCTCACCCACAACTGTATACAAAACAAATCACAGTTTTGCTCTTTCATACTGTGTCAGGCAAGATTTCAGCTTCTTTCAGTCAGACCAGTTTGATATGACCTAAGGACATCAGTATTCTTTTCTCTTAGTATGAAATCTCTCTTTCTAACCCAATATTGTACCACATAGGTCTTCACATTTTTTCACAATGTTTCAAGATGCTTCACACTTGCAGGCAGCATGGAACCATAACAATGTGAGAAAACATGTCAAAGGAAAGTTAAATTTGAAGGCTCAAGAAGTACTCTAGTTTCTAATGCACTCATTTTAATGAAACAGTCAAAGCTATTCAGCTTTCTGAAAATCATTATCTAAAAATACCTAAAACTCCAGGAACGCCTAGGTGGCTTTGTCGGTTGGGTGACTGATTCTTGCTTTCAGCTCAAGTCGTGATCTCAGGCTTATGAGATTGAGCCCTGAGTTGGACTCTGAGCTGGGCACAGAGCCCACTTAAGATTCCCTCTTTCCCTCTCTACCTGCTCTTCTTTCCCCCGACCTTTCTCTAAAAATAAATAAATAAATACCTAAAAATCCAGGCTCCACAACATATATGGTGCAATTTGGGAGTCCAGACACAGATCGCATATGGACATCTTAATTTTTGCTTAAGGAAATCATATGAATCAGAGTTGAGTGAAAAGACAAATGTGAGCTACTGAAGAAAAAAATAATAAATGCACAAACAGAAACAAACAAAAATCCTATTTTTTATCATCCTTTGGAAAGCAAAAACTTAAATGTATATATTTCTGAGAAAAGTCTGAGGAACTCAGTCATCATAGGACTCAGGTATTCTTGAATTTCAAATTTAAGGAAGATGGAATGATACAAAAAGATAACTCTCCATGCTTTTAGTATTCATTTAGCTGTAGAACTCTTTCTCCAAGTAAATTCTTTTTTTTTTTAAGATTTTTATTTATTTATTTGACAGACAGAGATCACAAGTAGGCAGAGAGGCAGGCACAGAGAGAGAGGAGGAAGCAGGCTCCCCATGGAGCCGAAAGCCCGATTCAGGGCTTGATCCCAGAACTCTGGGATCATGACCTGAGCCAAAGGCAGAGGCTTTAACCCTCTGAGGCCCCAGGTGCCCCTTCAAGTAAATTCTTACATGAGGGGCCCATTATGGAAAGCAGGACAATGTGGCATCACTCTGGCTATTGAATCGGATAGTGGTGATGATGGGGAGGGAGGGGAATGACCTGCCATCCAGCCCAGCAATCTGCCTCAGGCTCTGCAGACAGTTTTAAAAGTTACTAGTTGATTTTCCATTATCTACAGTAAATCTTTATTACCAAATGTTTTCTCTTTGTCATGAAAGATACTGCTAGTCACTTAGACACCATATTACCCACTACCCCTTCAGTTAATTTCTAGCAAAAATATGAATTTATTCTGTTATTGTCCTATACAGAATCAGGAATATACTTCCTGGAATACTTCCAGAAATATACTTCCCTCTCTAAAATATACTACACCCAAAAGCTAAGAAAAAATATATAACTGAGATAACTGAACAGAAAACACTCAATCATTCTAAGTACACTAATTTAGGAAGCGTAGTAATTCAGCCATGTACTAGATTACAATTTGTCACTACTGTAACCCATTGTGATAATGGAAGTAAAGTAATATTTAATCCACTTGAGGGATCAAACTTTTAAAACTGCCTCAAAATTCCAAATGAGCTATTGATACACAAACAATTGACATGTCAATTTTATCTAGTCATTAAAACAAATCTTTTAGAGACTGTACAGGTACCTCTGTGGCAATTTAGGTTTGGTTCTGATATGTACTCTAATCTAATGTTCATAAAATGTAAGAGCTAGAAGGAAATTCAAAGACACAACATTCCCTCCACTTTTACAGATGAGGAAACAGATCTGGACAGATCGCTAAACTAATTCATTCCTCCTTTGTCAGAATAAGAGACCTTCCACCCAATCCTTCCATGTGTTCTGAAACTCATTTTCCCTTACCCCTCAGAAACCTTGCTCCATCATCCACTGACCCTCCTTTCTCCCACCTCTGTGCCATCTTTCTGTTTACCTTACAGACATGTTCAAGTTTCTCTTATCTCATAAAAGTTCTCACGTCTTGGGGCACCTGGGTGGCTCAGTAGGTTAAATGTCCAACTCTTGATTTTGGCTCAGGTCATGATTTCAGGGTCATGAGACTGAGCCCCGCTGTGTGGGCTCCGTACTTAGCACAGTGTCTACTTAAGATTCTCTCCCTCTGTCCCTCCCCCACCCAGCTCATTCTCTCTCTCAAATAAATAAATAAAATCTTAAAAAAAAAAAAAAAAAGAAAAAAAAAGAGGGGCGCCTGGGTGGCTCAGTGGGTTAAGCCTCTGCCTTCGGCTCGGGTCATGATCTCAGGGTCCTGGGATCGAGTCCCGTGTCGGGCTCTCTGCTCAGCAGGGAGCCTGCTTCCCTCTCTCTCTCTCTCTGCCTGCCTCTCCATCTACTTGTGATCTCTCTCTGTCAAATAAATAAATAAAATCTTAAAAAAAAAAAAAAAGAATTCCTCTTTTTCCACATGAACCTTAAAAGCTGGTCTTTGCTCCTCTTCTCATTTTAACTCTATATACTCTCAGTGATTTTTGTCCACGACAACAGCTTCAACTGTCACCTATCTATAAACTCATCTCTCAAATACCTATCTTTATCCTGAATCTTTCTCCTCCAGATGCATAATAAATGTACCTGTTGGGGGTGCGTGGGTGGTTCAGTTAAGTGTCTGCCTTTGGCTCCGGTCATGATTAGGAGTCCTAGGATCAAGCAACGCCTTAGGCTCCCATTCAGTGGGCAGTCTGCTTCTTCCTCTCCCTTTCTCTCTCCACACTCCTTCGTGCTAAGTCACACGCTCTCTCTCAAATAAATAAAATAAAATCTTTTAAAAAATAAAAGTAAAATATCTGTTGGCATTTCTATCCTACAGGTACTTCAGGTTAACTTGTGAAAAAGTAACGTAGTTTTCCTTTCCCATAAACCTGCTGCTCTTCTTGTTCTCTAAGAATAGAACAGCCAGTCGCCCTAAGCCAGGGGCTGGAAGGAGTTATGAGTATCACCATCCACATCCTCCAGGAAGACATATAAATAGATAAGTATGCTGCATTTTATTTATTTGACAGAGAGAGAGAGATCACAAGCAGGCAGAGAGGCAGACAGAGAGAGGGAGAAGCAGGCTCCCCGCTGAGCAGAGAGCCCAATGCAGGCCTCAATCCCAGGACCCTGAGATCATGACCTGAGCCGAAGTCAGAGGCTTAACCCACTGAGCCACCCAGGAGCCCAAGTATACTGTATTTTAATATCTACTACTTTGGAATAAATAACAATATGACCTGAGAATATTGGGGTGGGAGGTAAGGTCATATAAGTCTGCCTGGGGAATTCAGGGAAGCACCTGACACACAGCTGGGGCTCTAATATTGAATGATTTAGTTAGTTTTGTAGGTACTCTTGTATCTGTTGACCAATGTCCTATGCATCTTAAAATGACTAAAAAAACAAACAACTCTGGACCCAAAACCCTCCTTAATATGTTTTAGACAAGTAATATAAGGCGCTAATATGATTATACAAGCAATACTGTACTCTCCTAGCCTACCAGGTGCCACACAACTCCCTCCCTCCCCCATTCCACCACCTCTCCTACTTTGCCCCTCTTCTCAGCACTTCAGTCTCACTGCCGGCTTTGCTCATCTTTAACCATGCCAGACACGCTCCGCCTCACCAGCTCGGCAAGTGCTATCTCCTCCTCCTTGAGCTCTTTCACGCAGGTGTCTGCACGGCCCACACCACTGCAGGGCTGCCTTTCACAGAAGACCCCCCCAACTACCCGGAGTAAACTAGCAGTCTGCCTTTCCAGCGCTCAGAACAATGCTGAGCGTATTGTAGGGTTAAAATAAATATTTGCTAAATGAATTAATCTCTTTCAGATTCAAATACTCAAAAATAGGACATATTTCAAAATCAAACATTGAGAAATGGAGTCCAAATATTTCAATTTTGTTTAAATCTTCATTCTGGGGGCGCCTGGGTGGCTCAATCAGTTAAGCCGCTGCCTTCGGCTCAGGTCATGATCCCAGGGTCCTGGGATCGAGTCCCACATTGGGCTCCTTGCTCAGTGGGGAGCCTGCTTCTCTCTCTGCGTCTGCCTGCAGCTCTGGCTGCTTGTGCTCTCTCTC